CACCGCCAAAAACCCGGATGTTACTACACCTGGCGTAACCCTTTTCTAACCCGAATGTTTGGTCGTGTAAACGCATATCAGGATATCCCCATCAAAGCGTGTGTTCTGCGCATGCTTTGTTCGTAAGGAATCTTGGTCTTTTGAGTAGCGAGACTTCTTGTATGCACCAAAACACTGGAAGTAAACAACAAGTTAGGAGCAACATGGTGAGTCGCGGCACAGCACCACACTTTTAGAGTGACGAGGAAACCTCTGTCTTCATCGATCTGGTGAAAAGTATGAACATTATGTCTTTTGTTGACGGCCGAAAGTGCAGAGACAGCGAAATATGACGCATATTGCGTTTTGACGTAGGCCATACGTCCTGACGCTACCCCAACGTCCGCATTTAAATCGGGTTATGCAAGTTAGGGGTAACTCTTTACATTTATGCTTGTAAACGGGTTATTCTGATCAACTCAGAAACCCGAATACCGACCTTAACCCGATTATAACCCAGATATTGGCTGCATGTAAACGTAGTCACTGGCTCTAAAGATAATCCTATCACTTTTTCCTGCCATGTGTGGTGTGTTAAGAGCACTCTGTTCTGCTCGGATACATAAACCTTGACTTTTAGGTGTGTTACATTGTCTCGGTCCGTTACTGACGACAGCAGAATGTGCTGCCTGTTAAATGTGACCTGTAGCCAATCAGAAAGTAAGGTGATGGAAGTCTTCTGCATGCTCCGCGTCAGCCGTGTTTGTTTACTCGAAAGTCATGTTTAATTCGAGAGATTTTGCGAGATTGAGAAAGGGCTGCACAAAATTACCCCAAGACCCCAAATGGACCTGCAGGCCACACCTTGGACTCCCTTTGGTCACCCCTGCCTTGATTACCAAACATGTTATAGATGTTAGAAGTTAGTTTTTAACTGGTCTGTCACCTTCTCCATGATTCTCCAGCCAGACTTCACTCAGACTACCCCTAAGTACTCCACAGACCCAAAAGTTAAGACACGTTCTGCTCTGTGGTCATCAGGTCAGGTTCCTCCTGCCCAGGAGATAAATATTTATTGTCTGTACAGTTTTCAAGTACTTCCTGTTGATGACAGAAGGAAACAAGTTGACTGATGCTTTGCCATCTGGATTTGTAGATGGTTGAACATATGGACACACACACACACACACACACACACACACACACACACACACACACACACACACACACACACACACACACACACACACACACACACACACACACACACACACACACACACACACACACACACACACGCGCGCGCTCGGCTCAACTCAGCGATCCAGAAGCATATGGTTCTTTGAGATGGAGTCGAGACAGACTGGGCTTTTCTGTCTGATAGCACCGAGGGCCTCGGTATTGTTAGAAGTGCTGCCAAACAAACTTCAACACACACACACACACACACACACACACACACACACACACACACACACACACACACACACACACACTCTCTCTCGCTTCAGTGGCTGCTTTTCTACTCATTTCAATGCAACGGGAGAGGCTGAGTGGGTGACCACAATTCTCCTTTCTGCGAGAGAAACGAGCAAAGTCTTCATCTGAGTTTTAACTGAAAGGCTGATGAAGATACCTGAACGACTTCTTCAGCAACGTTCACAGACGGCTCATTGTGACTTTGTTCATGACACACTCACAGCATCGGAGGGCTTTTGTCCGTTTGGTTGTCTCATTATGAAGATGACTTTAAAATTGATTTTTTAAATCTGCTTTGGTGAAAGTCCCGGTACTTTGGAGCATTACTGTTATCGTCAGCAGAGAGAAAACACTCTAGTCGCAAATGAAAATCCTTTAGTTTAATGTGTTTCCTGATGAAAGGTTCTATTTAAACTCAGGCACAGCTCCAGCTTTTTACACCGTAACGCGCTTTTTCCTTTTGAAAGATAATACAAGATTCATGGCGTTTTGTGTGAATTAATTAGGACAATTAATTCTGTTTTATGTTAGCGAATATAAGCCGGTTTCCAGTGTAATGCTTGGGCTCGTCTGTAGCTGGGGCAGGTTTAATTTCAGTCTGGCGGTTTTCATGTTATCATTTCCAGTTCTTTAAATGAATTAGACAAGGTTAGGGTTGGTGAAGTACTGAAGCTGCCGCGCTCCGATCGTGGCTTTCAAATGTTATATTCAATAAATGTAGATTCTTTTACTCTTTGCTTAGTGTCAGGTAGTTACCATAAGGTAAAGATCGTGTTTGAAAACAATTTTTGTACAATACATGTCTAAGAGACCCCCAATTGTACGTAACCAGTTCCGTTGACCTCACCCAGACCTGTAAGTGTAGGAAATCGCTTGATTCGAACCTGTCTGATAACAAGAAGTAGGCAAGGCAGCTTTATTTGTAAAGCACCATTCACACACGGAGCTAATTCAGTGTGCTCTCCAGGAGCGAGTGCAGCACGATCATTAAAATCAACATAACGTAAACAAATACACAAAAAAAAAAGATTTATGATGAAGATAAAAAGTTCGACTGAGCAGTTACAGTGCAGAAGGTGCAGCGTT